TATCCTTAAACATAATGTTATGAGTGATAGGATACTATCCATACACATATAAGAAAGATTTGTTAATATGACTATTATCTAAATATGTGCAGCAACAACTAAAAACAAAGTGTTGGAGATTGAGGATTTCTACCCAACATTTGCATGACCAAACATGCAATCAAGATATGTTAATAATTATTGGTGACTGGAATGCAAAAGTTGAAAACTGTGAAAAACAATGTATATGAACTTTAAATAAAGTAGTATAAAATTAAAAAAAAAGAAAAAGAAAGTTGTAAATAATAAAGATGTATTGACAGTGGCAGAAATATAGCTGGACATAGAATGATTGAATTTTGTATGTTCAATGATTTTTTAATTACAATGCATGTTTTTTTCACACAATTTTTAATTTTTTTTTATGGTTAGAAAAATTTATTACATTTAGAATTAGCCCGCTGGACTCAGTTTAGATGATCCCAATTTTGTTGGCAACATCCAAAGCATCATAATCAGGAGCAAGTCGAACATAGGCCTTCTTCTCTCCATCAGGCCTAATCAAAGTGTTGACCTTAGCCACATCAATGTCATAGAGCTTCTTTACAGCTTGTTTAATTTGGTGCTTATTGGCCTTGACATCCACAATGAACACAAGTGTGTTGTTATCTTCTATCTTCTTCATAGCTGACTCAGTGGTCAGGGGAAATTTGATGATGGCATAGTGGTCAAGCTTGTTTCTCCTGGGAGCGCTCTTCCGGGGGTATTTGGGCTGCCGTCGGAGTCTCAGCGTCTTAGGCCGCCGGAACGTGGGTGACGTGCGGATCTTCTTTTTTTTTGTCTGTGGACGCCCTTCAGGACTGCCTTCTTGGCCTTCAATGCCTTTGCTTTGGCTTCAGTTTTGGGAGGGGCAGGGGCTTCCTTCTTCGCTTTCGGCGCCATCTTCATAGAAAGGCTAATTTTTAATTTTTTAAATACAGTCTTTTTTTGTGATTTTAACAAAATTTTATAAAAATGTTAGATTTTCTTTTATTCATTGTTGCACATTTCCCTCCCTACCCCCAGCTCACTTTTTTTTTAAAAAAAACAAAAACTAATTGTTGCATACTTTCTCCTCCCCAGTCCTCTTTGCCATGTACCTCTTATTCTGGACTCATCATACAAATAATGCCTAATCTTATACTCCTTTTAAACATTTCTTTCCTTCATCTGTTTCAATGCAGTGTTCATTATTAACCCCTTCTTTTCTTAGTTTCCCCACAACCCCACAAATGCATTTTTTAACAAACACAAAAAGTAACTTTGTACACAGACCTTACCTGATGGACTGCACAGGTAACAGATTGAGTATATCTGTGGAATGAATTACTGGAGAAGCCCAATTTCAGCAGTCAAAATCTGACCAGGTGCTGACTGTGGAGTAGACTCATGTGCAAGTTCAAATTGTAGCTAAACAAAATGGAAACTATTTCACCAGAACCAAAATATGACCAGTCTATTTCATCTGAATTTTTGAACTATCTCTAGTATAGGTTTGAGGCATTGAACATCAGTGATTGAATACCAGATGAGTTATGGAATGATATAAAAGATGCCAAAAAATGATATCATTTTACGTGAGAGATATTATTTCTTTGTTGTTGTTGTGTGCTGTTGAGTTGGAACTGACCCATAGCTGACCCTCCTCCAGTGGGTTTTCAGAAGCAGAAAATTACATGGAAGAAAATTGCACATCTTTCTCCTACAGAGCAGCTGGTGGCTTTAAACCATGTGCTTTTGTGATTGCAGCACAGCTTCTTACCCCTAGGCCACCTTGTTGTTGTTGTGTACCATTGAGTCAGAACTGACCCAGTGGCAGTAATCACATAGGAGGATGTGCCTTTGGGATTATAGCACAAATTCTTATTACTAGGCCACCAGAGCTCCCTAGGCCACCTTGATAGGAGGTTTTAATTACTTTAATGGAGATCACCTAATTCACTTGAGATCCACTGTTTCTTCTTGAGCCAATATGGAAAGTTTATGTGTTTTAAGGAGTATATTTCTGTTTGTCTACTTTTTTACATAAATGATTCATAATATTCCCTCAAAATCCATAGTGTTTTCAGTGGCTGATTTTTGAGATGTAGCTTGCCAGCTTGCTCTTCTAAGGCACGTCTGGGTTCACTCAAAGTCCCAACCTTTTGCTTAGCCTCTGAGCATGTGAACTGTTTGTAGTACCCTCTACCTCTTGACTGTCTCTATTGCTGCCTTTTCAAAAAAGTTAGAGTTGTAACTGCACAGTGGTAGCCTTTCAAGAGGGAGTTTTGGTGGCATAGTTTGTAGTAAGTTGTGCTGCTACTCAAGCCAAAGGCCACACCTCTCAGGCAGTTTGAATCTACAAGAGGCTACACAGGAGGAAAAAAGAGCTGTTTCCTCCCTTATTACTTACAGTCTCAGAAACCCAATGGACAGCAGCTAAAAGCTGGCTCTGAATCAACCACAATGAATATCAATATGTTATAAAACTAAATGTGTCTATGGGAAAAGTCTTGAATATTGCAGGAAGCTTCAAAAGAAGATGGAAGGAATACACAGAGCTACTCTACTAAAAAGGCTTGGTCAGTGCTGAATCATTTCAAGAAGAAGCATATGCTCAATAACCAGTGGTACTGAAGAAGGAATTTCAAGCTGTACTGAATGTACTTGAGGGGAAGAAAAATAAGCCCCTAGGAATTGAGGGAATATCAGTTGAGGATTTTAACAAATAGATGTAGCTCTGGATTTGTTCATTAGTCTATTACAAGAAATATAGAAAAGAGCTACCTGGCCAAACTGACTGAAAGAGATCTATAATTGTGCCCATTAAAAAAAATAAAAAGAGTGATCCAACAGATGACAAACATTGTCTATTACTAATACCACAGACAAGTAAAATTTTGCCAAAGATTATTAAAAAATGATTGGAACCTTACCTTGACAGGGAGATTCCAGAAATCAAGCTGGGTTCAGAGAGGTGTGAGCAAAATTACTTTTCTAGCCCTTTAGCTTCGATTTCTTCCACATTCTGGGTGGGAATTTACAGATGAGGTGTATACATGACTCATGATGAGATTGGTCAGTTTTGCTCTCCCGTCAGGTTTGAATTGAACAGAGTTAGCAGCAGAAAATGAGAATCTCACTATCAGCGCAGAAGAAGAAGAAGCAAAGAATGAAATGTACATCCTTGCACATCCAGCACCAATCATACCTTGAGTAAAGTTCTCTGAGTTCTGTGTGGCCACTGTAAGGGCTCATCAGACATTGTTGTAGAGTAGCAAGATACTGGGAAGGGTGGATGATGTTTGAATTGGTAGAAGTCCATTTAGGGAGCTTTGTGAGGCATGTTTGACTTCAAGGGAATTGGTTTTGTGCTGCGGATGTTGTTGATGGTCACAAGGTTCAGATCTGTGGACTCAGATCACAGGAACTCTGTGAGTCACAATCAATTTGATGGCACCTAACAACAAACGACATTCCATATGTATGCTGACTAGATGATTTGACATGCTGGAATGTACCAGTAAAGAATGTGGTATCAGGATTGGAGGATTCTCATCAACAACCTCCCTTATGCAGAGGACACACCTTGCTTACAAAAAAATGAAGAAAATTTAAAGATCAAAGACTATATAAAGCCTTCAGTGTGGTTTACATCTTAACATCAAGAAAACAAAAATCCTCACTTCAAAACCATAGGCAATAGCATACGCAGTGACAGAAACTTGATAAAACCTTGAAATTGTCAAGTTTTAATTTTTTTTTTTTAATTTGGATCTGCAATCAACATCCTGGAAGTAACCGTCAAGAAATCAAAAGATGGGTTGTATTGGGCAAACCTGGTGTTGAGAACCTATTTAAAATGCTAAAGATCAGAAATGTTTCTATAGACCTAAGCCTTGGTATTTTCTTTTTTTTTTAGCCTTGGTATTTTCAGTTGTTTTATCTGCATATGAAAGTTGAACCATGTATAAGGAAGACAGTAGAATAGTTTATGCCTTTTGAATATGGTATTGGTGAAGAGTACTACTAAATATCCCATGGACTGCCAGAAGCACAAAGGGATCTGTCTTGGAGAAAGCACAACTAGGATGCTCCTCAAAGGCATGAATGGTGAAACTTGGTCTCACATACATTGGGCAAATTATCAAGAGATAATTAAATTATCAAGAGAACAATATATCACACTGGTAAAACTATAGGATGGGTGAGAGAGGAAAATCCTCCATAAGATGGATTAATACGGTAACTCTAATATTGGGTTTGACTGTGAGGAGGTGGTGAGTTTGCCGTGGGATAGTGTCGTTAGGTGTCGCCATGCTGACTCAGAGGGTGATAGTCACAGGCTTCTAGGAGCTGTAGTAAGCTTGATGACTCTGTGCCTAACAGCACCGTGTGTGTGTGTGTGTGTGTGTGTGTGTGTGTGTGTGTGTGGTCAGCTTGAGGGCCCTGTGCCTAATAGCATAGTGTGTGGGTTTATCACCATCTCTTCTTTTCCATCATTTATGAACTTTCAGATAAAATAATGGCTCATGCTTAGGTTCTGCAGGCAGGGACCCCCTTCTGAAGCTTTTGTTCTGTACGCCCATTTCTCTTGGCACTGGCACTTGCCATGGTGGCTCCTCAGTGGCTTACCTGGTCTTTTTCTGTCCATCTTTCCCCATAGAAGGCAGCCTCCATGAGGGGAGACCTTTGTTCCCTTCTCTGTGTGTTTCTCAGTGCCTAGATTAGGGACTTGCACAGTGCTCAGTTGTAGGTGCTTGGTAAGTATAGATTGAAGGAGCACGTAAATGTCAAGATCTGAGTTAGGTTTAGAGGAAAGAGTAGAGGTGTTTTTGGATCAGTGAGCTGTCTTACATAAAGAAGCCCTTTGATCTTTGTGCCTTTTGGCTAAGGGCAACGTGAGGTTTGAACCCAGACCTGACAGGGCAGGCAGCTCTCTCCACTGGTCCAGCTGTTTTCATAGGACTGTCCCTAACTCTCTTTTTTTTATGTTCCCCAAGAACTTTGAGGTGGAGGCTGATGACCTGGTAACCATCTCGGAGCTTGGCCGTGGAGCCTATGGGGTAGTGGAGAAGGTGCGGCATGCCCAGAGTGGCACCATCATGGCCGTGAAAGTGAGCAGACCCTTCTCCAGTCCTGCTGGGGAGCACTGGGAATCACCAGGGATGGCTGCCTGGAGGAGGAGTAGGGGCAATGGGACCAGGAGTCACCTGGGAGGGCTGCCTGGAGGAAGAGTAGGGGCAGTGGGAACAGGAGTCATCTGGAAGGATCAGAGGCCACCTGGAGGAAAAATAGGGCCTGAACCTGACTTTGGCTCACAGGCCATTGGTTTTTCATATGGTCAGTGAATGCTGGTCAGCTCCTGATTGTGCGGCTGTCCTGTACTGTAACAAGTGAGGGGGCAGAGCCTTCTGGGGCAGGCTGGGCAGTGGCTTTCAGAGCTCCTGGGGTGGCTGTCCTCCTGAACCATGCCTCTGCACCCCACAGCGGATCCGAGCCACTGTGAACTCACAAGAGCAGAAGCGACTTCTTATGGACTTAGATATCAACATGCGGACAGTCGACTGCTTCTACACTGTCACCTTCTATGGGGCACTCTTCCGAGAGGTGCGGCCTGGTGAGGTGGGGGAGGAAGGGCAGGGTGGGCCGGACTGGTGGCCACTGACTTGCCCCATTACCTACCGTCTGTCCAGATCGCAACCCATCATCATCCTCACTTTGCCTGGTCAGCAAGCCTATTGCATGTGGGTAATAGAATCACATGAACTGCAGACTCCCTGCCCTCCTAGAGGCAAGAACTCTTGTTTGTCAGGAGTTGGGCTTTCGGCTCCTTTACTGGCTCTGTGGCTCAGTGTCCTCATGAGCCCTGTCTCTGCTAATGTGGTTCTCCACATGAGATGGCATGGCAAGTGCTCTCTGTGAACGTTTGTTAGGACCGTCTTGAGCAACCTCTGAGCAGGAGCAAGAGGCTCCTGTGGAAGAACCTGTAGGCATCAGATGGATGAGAGAAGAAACTGTCAGGGAAGGCTGGCTGTATAGATGACTGGGGGCAGAGAGAAGTAGTTGGATTGAGATATGTGAAGGACTCAGATGTGGACCTGTGAGTAGAGGTAGAGCAGAGTGGGTGAGAGCTGTGCCTGAGGATAGGGCAAGGCGATGTCAGCCTAAGTTGACCCTGGTTTCCGTCCCCAGGGTGACGTGTGGATCTGTATGGAGCTCATGGACACCTCTCTGGACAAGTTCTACAGGAAGGTGCTGGCTAAAAACATGACGATTCCAGAGGACATTCTGGGAGAGATTGCTGTGTCGGTAAGCTGTGGAACCAGGTTGTGTTTGGAGGCCCTGACTGTGCTCTGTGCTCTGTGCTCTGGCAGGAACAGAGCCCAGCTGGCTGGTGGTATCCGGGCAGAACTGGGTCCCATGAAACCTTTGGACCTGGGCTACTGCTTGTGGACCTCAACCTCAACTAGAACTTTTTACTGAGGAGGACCTGAGGCCACACAGCCGTGGTAGGCCCAGCCTGAAGACCTTTATATTTTTCCTTAGCTGTCCCACATAGTGACCAGTGTGTTTAAACCACAGACCTTTCAGTTAGCACTTCAACACTTAATCATTGCTCTATCAGGGCTCCTTTTGTAGCTTCCCAGACTTAGAAAGTTTTCCTAAAAGATACTGAGTATTTACAACTGCCTTAGCCTCCATACGCCTCAAGGCAGAATGCCAGAGTACAAGCCAGCTGAAGGAAAAAGATGATAAAGATGAGTTGAATGTGAGACAGGTTAGCATCCAAAACACATGCTTGCTGAGGCTGTCAGCTTTCCCAGAGAAGAGACAGCATCCCAGCTGCCAGGCTGCAAGGGAAATGAAGTTGGAAAATTGGCAATTTTCAATCCTGAGGTGTCCATTCCTTTGAATAAGCAAGCACATGTGGCATTGCAGGGGTGAAGAGAGAAGCAGGAGGCTGCAGAGGGTCTGGTATTTGCTGATGAGAGCCTAACTGGAGTGCTGATGGCCCACAGGGTGTCTCAAATGTGGGACTCTGTGGGAGTCTTAGGAATAGGATATTCCTGAGAAAGTTCTGGCACCCAAAGTCCTCAGACCCAGGAAGAGACAGGCACCTGGTTTGTCTACACCCGGGTTACCCTGACGGTGGGCATCCTGCGGCACTAGGAGCTGCAGTGTGAGGTTGTGGGAAGAGGTGGCAGATCCACACAGGGTGGGGGTGGGGCAATTGCTCTGTACTGTCAGCATATTAAAATAACCCCATCTGTCCCTCCACGTGCAGATTGTGAGGGCTCTGGAGCACCTGCACAGCAAGCTATCTGTGATCCACAGAGGTATGTGGAGCAGGGGGAGCGTCTCAGGGGACTTTCATGGGGATGAGAGGGAGGGGCCTTGGGGATTGAGGAAGTGGGGCATGGAGAGGGTGTCCCCTGGTGGGCAGGTTGCAGGGGCAGGCATGTCTTGTTAGCTTTAGTCACCTTGTCAAATCGGCTGGATGAGTGGACTTTTCCTCATTTTTAAGATGAGCAGATAGAGGCTCATGTGTGACGTGTCTGGCTGGGGCTTATCTCCTTCTGGCCGCTGGCCATACTGAACATTATCTGGGCATTCTTGCCACTCGTGGGTCCTCCTGGGACTTGTGGGTGCTGCTGAGAGGAATTCTGATTTTCTGAACCAAGGGTCTCAGCTGCGCCACTGTCCACTATGTGACATGGGGAGTGACATCACCTCCCAGACCTTCAAGTTCCTCATCCATGGACAGGCTGTTGGTGGTATCTTCTTATTGACTCGTGGGGACTGCTGTGGTCTAGCCTTGTGGGCACCACATCTGTACCCAGGCCCACGAATGGGAACTCAGACAATGTTTTGTCCCTGCAGATGTTAAACCCTCCAATGTGCTCATCAACAAAGAGGGCCACGTGAAGATGTGTGACTTTGGGATCAGTGGCTACTTGGTGGACTCTGTGGCCAAGACCATGGATGCTGGTTGCAAGCCCTACATGGCAGTAAGTGCTCCCTCCCACTGTTTTCGCTGGGCCCCAGGTGTGCTCCCTCCCACTGGACCCCGGGTGTCCTGCCTCCCACTGGGCCTTGAATGTCTTCCCTTCCCTTGGGCCCAAGGTGTGCTGCCTCAGCTGGACAGTTCTTGTTTACTTACCTGTGCCATTGTTGTGCTTCAGTCTTCCCTATTTGCAATGTAAATCATGTGGACCCCTCTATGGGGAGTCCCATAAAGAGGAGCCAACCCCTCTTTCAGTAGCAGGGAGGCAGTGGGTTCTGCAGTTCCCTGCAGGATTGGGCACCATGTGATACTGTCATTTATACTAGTCTTCAGTGGCTTTCATCTCTGTCATGTAAGACAATTACATCCCTTAATTTGGGATAAGGGGAAGGAAGACTAAGTTCGAAGGATCTCAGATGCCCCCTCTGGGTCCTTCTACTATCGAGTAGGTGGTCATGACTCACTGTCCCTCCAACAGCCTGAGAGGATCAACCCGGAGCTGAACCAGAAGGGCTACAATGTCAAATCAGATGTCTGGAGCCTTGGCATTACCATGGTAACAAAAGTTCTTGCCTTTGTTGCTAGGAGGTGGGTGAGGTGGTCTGTGCCTGCAGCTATAAGCTCTGAAAAGAAAAGTTACCATCAAAATGACCAGATGTCTAAGAACATGGTTCAGTTAAAGTGATCTGCTTCTCTGATGGTTAAATTCAGCCTCCACTAAAGTGTCCTGGCATCCTGAGATAACCAAACCCAAACCTGCTGCTGCGGTGTGATTCCAACTCATAGGACATAGTACTCCAACCTTATAGGACAGATTACCACCACCTCACAGAGTCTCCTAGGTCATAGACCATTATAGAAGCAGATGGCCACTTCTTTGTCTCACAGAGTGGTGTTGGACTTGCACTGCTGACTTTTTGGTTAACGGCTGGCACTTTGAACCACTGGACCATGGGGCTCCTATTTTGAGATAACACATTCATGAAATGTTTTTCACTTTGGAAGAATTCCTGGAAAATCATGGTGTATGCAGAAATCATAGCCAATCACGAGCAATTCAATGTGCGATGAAAATCCTTTCTGAACTTTCTTCTAGTGAGGAATATGTTGTATGTGGGATCCAGGTGTTCCTCACTGGGGGTGCTGGTGGAGGGGAAGTTTGGCCAGGACAGATAGGGGCTGGTGACCACCCATCCTAAGGACTCTTTGTGTGCGTATGTGTGTATGTATGTATGTGCTGGTCTTCCAAAAATCTTCTTCAGGGCCGGGCCTGAAGTTGATCAGCACCACTTCTGCTTCATAGTCTTGACTGAAACCAGTCATCAGTTGGACTCAAGGACAGACGATTGGACCCTACCCCATGGTGGGTAGAGTGGCAGGTGCACAGAGCAAGGGAGATGATGTGGTGACCATATTTGGAGAGTAGCAACCATCGTGCAGCATAGCGTTTCCCCCTGGGTTATAAATTAATAAAATATGAAAATACAGAGGAAAAGTCAAAGGAAGGAGAAAAGATCATTGGTGTTCCATTCAATGAGACATATCCTCTTCTCCCTATTGCCAGCCCCTACCAGTATGTATTCTGGATTTTTTTTTAATTGCCTCTATTCATGCACACATACCCACAGATACAGCAGACACATTTGGTCTTCTCCACTTAGCATTATAGCGTTTGTACATCTCTGGTTGCCATAACCCCTTGAGTGGTGCAGTTAATGTGTATCCTCCCAGAGGCCCTTTGGAGGACAGTGTTGTTGAGCTGGTTCCAAAGAGCCAGTCGTTGGAAACCTTGCTTCTGTTCTGACACTTGGAGTTGTCATGAGTTGGTGCTGACTCTTTGGTGGCTGGGATATTTGGGAAGACTCTTGGCAGGTGTTGATTGTATTCATGTTATTGTGAATGTCTAGGGTTTTACAGAGTTGAAGTTGATCTTCCTTGTTTGTAGATTCCACTCTTGTAAATGTGGCTCTTTGCTAAAATTTTTTTACAGTCCCAAAGTCAGTGCTCACGATGCTTCTTGGTCATTCACAGATATATGCAGAACAGTGAAAAATGTTTGAGTGGCCAGCCACGCCTGTTCCCTCATGGGTTCCAGCCAGCCATGTTCTGCCTGCTGACTTGGGTTCTATAAACAATGTCCTTTCTGTGGCTGCTTGGTGCCATATTTTCACAACTTTGGAGTTTTGTTTTTTTAATTGATTATAAGATCTAGGAGCCTCTCTAGTGGAATACTGGAGTGTCTCTTGAGTGTATAGGTGACATGAGCTGCCTTTCTTTTATTTTATTAAAAATTTTTATTATTTTATTATTTGTGTGTGTGTGTGTGTGTACCGTCAAATCAGATCTGACTGGTACAGGAGGAGATTGTCCCTTCTTCCCTGGCAGAGCATCTGGTGGACTTGAACCGCGTACCTCTGGGATTGCAGTGCAGCTTCTTGCCACTAGGCCACCAGAGCTCCCCATGATCTGCCTTTCTATGCACAGATGTGGCTGCTTCTTTGTTTTTTATATTTTGAACTTTTTAGAAAAATCACACAGAAGAGACAATTTGGTAAAAAGTTTGGATAACTTTTGTTTCTTTGCTTACAAACACTATCAGGCAGTGGTTTTTGGTTTCTTTTCCTCTGCCTGTACACAGTGCTCCCTCTTGCATATTGGCATCAATGGACAAGCTAAGGAAAACAACCCTGAGTTAGGAGGTTTGTGACTCATCGACATACTCATACATGCAGATGCATAGAAGTGTCGACACCTCACAGACACAGATTGTTAGGTCAGCTACCACTCAGAACATTCCTTGGACATGCTGGAATTGTCCTGTCCTGTGCTGTGCTGCCTCCTGCTCAAGCCCATGCCGCAGCCACTGTGTCGGTCCACCTTTTGGAGGACCTTCCTCTCATTCTCCGACTCTAACTTTGCCAGCGGGATGATGATGTCTTTTATCAAAGCCTGGCCCCTTCTGACATGCCCAAAGTATATGAGAGGAAGTTTCATCATCCTTGCCTCAAAGGAGCACTCTGATTGCACTTCCTCCAAGATAGATTTGTTCTTTTGGCACTCCATGGGATATTCAGTACTCTTCTCACCAATACCGGGATTCAAAGCCATTGATTTCTTCTTCAGTCTTTCTTGTTCTTCTTCCAACTTTCAAATGTATTGGAAGCAACTGACATACAGATAGAATCACAGAAATACACAGGTACATACTACATGTATGCAAAGACACACTGATGTAGTCACATGTGAACACACATGAGCACAGATGCCTCCCTTTCTCACAGTCCTTCTATGACTGTGGAAGGAGATGTGCCCTATGTTTGGCTTTTCCACCTCCACCCTCTGTCTTTGAAAATTATGGCATAAATAGATGGCAGCATAAGTGTCATCCTCTGATTTCTGAGGGCAACAGGGAGGCTCTGTTTTAGTACCATGGTTATTGATTATTTGAGCCAGGCCTTCTTGGTTCATTGTCGTGGGCTGTCAGGGAGGGCAATATGCTAGGCCTGAGCATCTCTCTGTTCCTCCAGGCAGTGGCTCACAGGGGTTATTTTCAACCCTGTTAGAACCCAGAGTTCCCCTTCATGCTGACTGCCAGCCGTGTTTGGAGCTGGTGCCTGCAGATTGACAGCTGTGCTGGAGAGATGTGGCCCAGTTAGTCAAGAAAAACAGTGATGAAGGAAAGGGAGGCTTCCTGGAGGAGGAGGCATTGTAGAGGGGCCTTGGAGGATGCCAGCAGGTGAGAGATGGAAGGTTTTAGGGCAGAATAGAGGTTGCAAATTCAAATACCTCCTGAGGTCAGGCAGGCATCACTGATTTAAAGATGTTTTCCTGCACAGCATTCCTTCTGTGAGTATAGGAGACGTGCCCTGGATTTGGCTGTCCATCTCCACCCTCTGTCAATAAGAATCATGCTCTAACCAAATGGCAGCAGCAGTGTTTGTCACTGAGAGAAATTGGGGAAGGGTTGGTTTGTGGTACACAGAGATGGGCACCTCGCCTTAGCCTTCTACTAAATGCTCTCAGCCAGGGGCTGTAGGGATGTCAGCTCCTCTGCCTTCCCAGCTTGAGGAGTTTGGGGTTTTATATATAACCTTCCTGCTCCATAGTGTTTTAAAGCATGGGAGGGAGAAGGAGTCCCACAGAGGTGAAGGCTGGATTGGAAGAGCTGTGGACATGCTTTCCTCATTGACCTCATGCTATTGTGTGAGAAAAGTTAGCCAGGGCGGCCCCTCTGTCCATGTGGCAGCCCTCTGTCCATAGCAGCCCCTCTGCCTACACAGCGGCCTCTCTGTCCATGGCAGCCCCTCTGTCCATGGTAGCCTCTCTATCTACAGCAGCCTCTATGTCCATGACAGCCCCTCTGTCCATGTGGCAGCCCTTCCGTCCACATTGCTGCCCAGCTTCCAGGAGCCAGTTTAGGGTGAACAGACCCCACAGCACCCTATACTCCCTTGGATGTAGAGTGGGTGTATCTGCTAGCCATGACCATGCTGACCTGCTGCTTCTGTCTTGCAGATTGAGATGGCCATCTTGCGCTTCCCTTATGAGTCCTGGGGTACTCCATTCCAGCAGCTGAAGCAAGTAGTGGAGGAACCATCCCCCCAGCTCCCAGCTGATCGCTTCTCCCCTGAGTTTGTGGACTTTGTTGCACAGTGGTGAGTTTCTTATCCTCTAGACTGCACTCCTCCCTGGCCCAGTCACCCTTTCTTTTAACAACATATGCCGCACAACAAATTAAAGATAAGGTAGAAATAGTTACAAATAGAGGACACTTGACACAACTCTGGACCTGGTTGTATGCTGTGGCCCTCCGGCAGATTTCCCAAGGCAGGTAATTGCCCGGGAGATTTCCCATCTTTCTCTTGTGGAGCAGCTGGTGGATTCAGACCAGTTATGTTTGGGTTGGCAGCACAACTCTTTACCCACTAACCCTTCAGAGTTCCAGAAATAAAACTAAGTTAAAACCCAAAACTAATAAGCCAACTGCTGGGAAATGAAAAAATACGTTTTTATAAATAACGGCAACTCTTGGAATAAAAGACATAAAATAAGATTACAAATAGAAGTGAAAAACAAAGAATACAAAATATCAACACTTATGTTTTTGAGGTAAGGAAACACTTTAAGGAAAATTCATAACCCTTTCCCCTTTTTTTGCATTTAGTTTTTAAAACATTTTATATTGGTTTGCATACAAAATTCTTATACATTGTGTTTCGTTCATATACATTGTGTTTCACACATTCCTTCATCTGCATCGTGTTTCATATGATTCCCATATATTGCTTTTAATAAAACCAATCACCATTGGTCTATGTCCACCATCTCCCCTCCTTTCAGGCACCCACTAGATCTTTCCCAATTCCTTCAGTCCCTCCCTCTGCCCGCCAGACTATGCTACCTCGTGATTTCTCTATTTCCCCCCTTACCCACCTTTTCCCCTTATTAGTCATCCATCTGTTTTTACAATAATGGTTTTATGCAGTATTTATCCTTATTAGACTAATGGTCTCTAGACTCTCCCATGTTATATAGTATTTTTAAAAATTGTTGTTCTTAAGTGCTCATAGCCTTTTATTTCTTATTATGGAGCTCTGATGGCCTAGTGGTAAGGAGCTGTGCTGCCAACCCAAAGGCATGCAGTTCAAATCCACCAGAAGCACTGTAAGAAAAAGATGAGCATTCTCCTCCCATGCAATTTGCTGCGTCTGAAAACCTGCTGGTGGGTTGGCTATGGCTTGATTCTGACTCAATGGTAAATAACAATTGTAACATTTCTTATTAGAAAATAAGAAAATCTAAAGACATGAGCTAGAGGGACATCATTGGCCACCCTGACCCCCTTTAATTGGGGTCTCCCATCACTCAGGATAGTAAGAAATTACCTCTCCAGATTTAAGGGGCACAATATGTTATTGTAACTATAATAGTCCACTGTCCAAAGGGCCTTTGGGAATTTCCTAGATTGTTATAGAAATGAGGATAATAAAGCCCAGAAAGGTGAAGAAACATACCTTGTAGTTTACATCCATGAATTCTCCTGTGTCCTTGGGAGTCCCAGAATTGCTCTGATCTGTCTCTAGGCCCAGCACATGTGCTCCCTTATCCCATCAGGGGCCGAGGCTGGCTTGCCTAGGGGTGCCAGGCTCCCTGCTCTGGAACCTCCAACCTCAGCCTGCCCTTCTCTCCCATCTCCTAGCCTCCGAAAGAATCCTGCAGAACGCATGAGCTACCTGGAGCTGATGGTGAGTGTCTGGCTCTGCCTCTGCTGTTTTGGGGTTTCTGGGGAGAAGCTCTGTCCCTGTCCTTGTTCCTGGAGGGGACCATTGTCATGAATTCATTCATGTACTAGTCACTGACTTGCTCATTGACTGTTGCATTGTCTGGAAGCTAGGCTCCTTCTGTGTGTGTGGCCCAGCAGGAGGTGGTGGCTGGGTGGCCGGGTAGCTGGTGTGGTCCAGTCAGAGGACAGTGGAGGCATCTTCTCCATGAGACTTCACAGAGCGGTCCTATGAGAACTGTGCTTGGAAAGTTGAAAGGTCCTAATGAGTCCTGGTATATGGAGAAAAGTAAGAAGCTAACTGTGGTGAGATGGTGACAGCAGGCTGGCTGAGTGAGAGCCCTGAACCTCATCTCCAGTCTGCAGGGGAAGCTCTGAGGGCAGAGGTCCTAGAACAATGACTAGGCATTTGATCTGGAGGGGATGAGGGTTCTGAGAGGTAAGCAGGGGCTGACCCAGCTTTCTGCCTTCTCTCACCGTGACTGTGTTTCTCTTTGACCCCTAGGAGCACCCGTTCTTCACCTTTCACAAAACCAAGAAGATGGACATTGCTACCTTCGTGAAGGAGATCCTGGGGGAGGAGTCATAGGGCGGAGCCTGGGCCCTGTGGCTCTTGGGTGGAGCACCTCAGCTCCTGAAGTGCTGGCCTGTGTAGATAAGCTACTGCCATTTGGCCTCAGGGCACCCACAGGAGCTGGAGAGAGTCCTCTTGGATCTGTAATAGGCCACCTTCCCAGCTACCAAAGAACTGGCCCATTAGGGATAACTAGCCAGACTCTGGGGTCCCTGGCCCCCACTAGTGCCTTTGCCCTTACTGCTCCAAGGACGCCAAATCTTCAGTCCTAAGACTTTAGACACAGAAGGGCCTGGTATTCAGCTGAAGTTCCTTTCCGGGGCTCTGAGCATCCCCACTGGACACTATCCCCACATCCTAGATTCAGATTTTTTTAAGTTTCTCGACTAAATGGACTTTGCGTACTTTGGCCTAGTGTGGCCACACATGCTGATGCCACATCGGTCTGGGACATTAGCCATGTGGGTCACCTGAGATGCCAGCAGCAGCCCAAGGCCTTTTCCCAGCACTGGATGACAAGCTTCGATGGGACAGGACTGGTTGCTGTCCCCACCCCTAGGTGGCGTTTTTCACTGTGCTTTGGTTGGCTGATTTGTGTGTGGGTTGACTGTTGTAGGTTTTGGGTTTTTACTGCATAGTTTGGGGCCTGTCAATTCTCTTTTCTCTCTTTCCCCACAACTGTCCCAGGACCAGCGGCCCAGACATTCTCCTTCCATCTGCTTCAGGGGTTCTATCCAGCCCCATGTACGGAGACTGGCTCAACAGGGGTTATGGACTTGCTTTAGTGTTTTGTTTTGGGGAGAAAACCAAGAAAGGAAATATATTCTTTTTTGTTTGTTTGTTTGTTTCCAGAAATGACTGCCCATTTTGGGACCCTCTCCCTCAATCGTTGGCACAATTGCCTTGTTGCTGTTTTAATATTACTTTTTTTTTTTTAAGAGTACAAAAGGTTGTATGAGTCTGTGACCAGCCCTTCTCTTTGGGGATATGTGTAGCCTCAAAAAAAACCAACAAAAAAAACCCAACTCTTTTTTCCAGAGCAGGTGTGATCATGAGTGGGGCCCTGCTGATCTGAGGATCTTATTAAATGTAAATTCTGATTCAATATGTCTGAGGTGGACATACAAAGCCTTAGAAGGGGTTTGAGCCAGAACAAAGTGGTTCAAAGCCCTGTGAGGTAGTAGTGTTTGAAATTCAGAAGATGAGGATTGGCCCAGGAGATAGAGGGTGAGAAGGCCTGTAGACAGAGGGATCTGCAGCAGCCAAGGCTCCAAGGTACCAAGGGGAATTCAGGGTTTGTCTGAGAGGGGGAGGAAGGCTGTGCAGTGAGATGAAGCCTTGCATGGCTTTGGCATTGCCCACATGGGAATTCCAACTTCACCATTGAGACTTTCCTGGGTCAGCCCCCATCAGAAACCATAAAGAGGCCTTGTGCCCCGGGAGATGGTGTCCATGTCCTTGCCCCAAACAAGAGACAATGAGCTTAGGGACAGAAGTGTACCCTGGAGAGGACTCTGAGGAAGTGGTGGCAGCCTGTGAGTTTCCTTTATGAGAGTTCAGTCTGAACATACAGTCTTTGAGACCAAGGTTGGGCCAGAAACTCCTTCATCAGACTGGTGCAGAAGGACATTTATTTAATCAACAAGTAGGATTGTATTTGGTGTGTCAGGTACAGTTGGATTTAGAGACTCAGTTTTGTTCTGAAGAATTTATCCCCATGACAGCTGTGTTTTGTTGTTTTTTTTTTTCTTAGCCCAGCTTCACTTTCCCTTCATAGGAACTAGTCAGAACCACTGGCTCCCACTTCAGCAAATGGGCTCATCTCTCTAGCCCAAGTGTCAAGGTTACTCCCATTGGCTGGGGAGAGGCCATGTGCTCACCCCAACTCTGGCCCTAGGTCAGCAGTGGAATCTAAGGATGTTTTTCAATCTCATATCAGTGTCTGAGCCCAGGGCTCCAGCATCCCTCACTCATACAAAAGATCTTGAGTCGTTATGGGGCCTTCTGCTCTACCTCTGTCCTCCACACCCAGCACAGCTAGGAGCAAACCTAGTTCTTGCTTCTAGACAGCCCTCACCTGGACCAGGCCTCTGTGAACAAGCCACCTGTGGGTGCGAGGATGCAAGGGGCATTTGGCTCACCCTTCCTCACGAAGACAATCTGCTCCTACCAGGGCCTTCCCTGACCTGGCGCTAACTCCCCATCTTCATCCTGGGCCTCCTCTGTTCCTGTCTTGGGAAGCTTTTCTGATCACCTGGGCTCAACTGCTTATCTGGTCCAGCAGGTCTGACAAATAACCCTGCACTGTCAGGGCCAAGTTTGACCTGCCACCAGAGTGTGGACAAATCAAATGACCAGTAGTTTAGACTTCTGGAGTGGGTTCCATCTTTCTAGACACGCAAATGAATGGTCACTGGAGTGAGTAGGTCACCTCCCTTGTGCACTGTCGGGTCCTCTTCCTCTGCTGACCATCAGGGGATGTCCGTGACTGACCTCAAGAGCTTGCTCTGGAGCCACGCCCCAGAAAGCTCATCTTGAGGATGGAGAATGACCTGAGACAGCAGGAGCGAGGGACATGGGTGGGTCTGCCCTGGGCACCACAGCTGTCAGGCCTCTGCTTCTGTGGGTGCTCCTCTTGGAGCTGCAGCTGCCCTAGCATGACCAGATTTATTGACAGATCTCCCACACACGAGCGCAGCTCTTCACATTATCACATCTTTAGAATTTTCTGAGTGCTTCACCATTTGCAACATATTTTCCTTTTTAATTTTTTAAATTGTTATTTTAATGAAAGTTTACAGAAAACTTGGATTTCCATTCATTCTTTCTTGCACATGCAACATATTCTTTGCAAAGCACTGCACTTTCAAAGTATTTTATAGTTTGCAGGTGACTGATTTGTGAGAGATTTCTAAGGTACAAAACACCACATTTTACCATAGTCTACAAAAATATTTCTGTTTGCAGTGTATTCTGTGTGGTTTCCAGATACTTTAGAATTCGCCATGCACTTGACAAATTAGAAAGTACTCTGTTACAGTTTACAAATCTGGCTACAGCTTACACATCACTGTCACATCAGTGTTCACAGACTGGTCACCATGACTGGAACCTTCAGAGCTTACAAAGGTAAAACCAGAGTATGCCTGGCCACTTTGACATTGAAAAGTCCCGGCTCTCAATGAAGTTTCCCTCCACTTTTCCTGCCCCCTAGTGACCCAGACCCTTTTCTTGGACTCTGGGCCAGGAGGGGGAGAGACAGGCTGGGAACGTGTCTTTCCCACTAGGCAGTAGGAGTGTGGAGGAGCCTGGGGTTAATGAGTCTGGAAAGAGCAGCCAATGAGCCTTAGCATGCAGCATGAAAAATGCAGCAAGCAGGCGTGGTTGGAGCAGGGAGGCAACCTCTGAGGATTTGGTGAATTCCCTATGGAAACAGGTAAGTATCAATAAGGTCTCAAAACCCTGTTGTGCATCCCAGCTCTGCTGGTCAGGCTCCCTGTGCACTATACCACCTATTGTCCCTGACTTCCCAGATACACACCCTCACTCAGTCTCAGCCACTCTGTCCCCTGAGCACATGACTTTCCTCTGCTCTGATGCTGCCTCCTTGAAGAAGCTCCTGACCACCCTCAGCTATCCTTGCTATTGTACTCACAACTGTCCAATCTACTGTTGTGAACCGTAGAGTCAGAACTTACCAGTAGCTGATCTTCCAGTGGGTTTTTAGATGCAGTTAATTGCATCAGAGAAGATTGTTCATCCTTCTTCTGTGGGTCAGCTGGTGGACCCGAACCATGTGCCTTTGGGATTGCAGTGCAGCTTCTCACCACTTCGTTGCCTAAGGGTGAGTACTCTGGAGTGATGGATGTATCTCAAAGAGGACAGAACAGATGTGAAGAAGTCATGTGCCAGCCCAAGGTACAAGGTAGAAACCAAGAATCTGTCCCCCCCAAAAAATTAAAAAAAAAAAAAAGAATCTGTCCCAAGAACAAGACCTGCCAGGATAGTGCCTGAAATGGAGGGTTACACCCTACTTCTTCTGGGGTCTTGGTGCTGGAAGAAGACTCCTCTTATTGCACTTATGGAGAACTCTGCACCTCAGAGAAGATATAGGACTAACTCAAGGTTACAGGGAGGTGGCACTGAAGCTGTAAATTGAGCCTTAAACTGGGGCTCCCTTCCCACAGTGGAGGTCTAACCTATGTTTCTAAAGACAAGTTCAAGGCAAGGCCCCAGAAAAAGTTTTGGCTGCTGAACTGGCGGTTCTTTATTTCAGGACAGCAGTCCCCAAAACTGTGAATAAGGTTTTTACCATTCATTCCACTTTATATACCTGTCTGGGTTACTCTGGCCCAGCACAGGAGATGAGGCCCAGACATACAACTTCACTGACAGCCATTCTCTGGCCAGTCTCCTGGTGAGGTAGACAGGCTTATGTCACCTCCTCACTTGGGCTTTTGGGTCCAAGAGTGACTTGCCAATATCTGGCCAATCTCCTACCTGAAACAAAGACCTGCTCACCTGCTAAGGCCACAGCTTTCCCACCTTCCCCTGCTCACTTCCTTTCCAGTGAGCTTCCCTGTTGCTGTCTTGCTGTCTGTTCACCAGCAACCAACAGTGACACCCTGATGGGGGTAAGCTTGACAGAGACACACCACTCTGTGAAAGGATCAGAAAGTCAATCCAGCTCAATTTTATTGGGGACTACAGTGCACTTATATATAAGCAGGTAAACAGGAAGACAGGATAGGGTGGGCTTACAGATGTGGGACATGCGGATTGGATAGGAGAACCTCAGCCTCGTGTGGAGCACTCCCAGCTCAACAGATTTGGCAGCTGTCTTCCCAGGTGGTGAGCTTTCTCAAACCTGTACAGCCAAACACAGAGGAGCTTTCTCTACCCCGTATTCAAGGCTGTTGGGAGGCTTGCACTTACTTATCCAGAGCTTAGGCTATCTGTCCTGGCCAGAGGCCCTCCCCTCCCCAAGATTCCCCAACACTTCCCAGCCTAATCTCTGTGTCTGAGATCTGA